GTGCAACACCCACCAAAGTTCAGAGGAGTTTCTGAAATTAACCCTAATGATAATGATTGTGTATAGTTGATATCTAAATTCTAGACATCATTCAGATTTTTAGATTATAAGTATTTTGGTTTTTGGCTATCTTACATGCTCATTATCTTCAGACTACATATGAGAACTTCCGATACAGAGCCGACAACAGGCCGAACGTCTATGACCAAGGTTGCGTCAACAACTTCCTAGAAGTCTTCTGCACGAGAGTAAAGCCATCAAAAAATAAGTTTCGTGCCTACGTTTCAGAAGAAAACTCAAGGCCTCCTATCATCGGTTCTAGAGAGCCGGAGCCAGAACCAGAATCAACCAGTGAACCGCGATCCAAGGTAGAAGATGATCTCGAGATTGGCGGAGAATTATTGAAGATTTCGAGAAGACGAACATCTGGAGAGGTTGACGAGGAGTTGGGCGGGAGAAATAGTACTGGTATGCACAGTGTTGTGTCCGAGTCAGAGCTTGTTTCAAGAAGGAGAAGTGGAACCTGGGAAATATCACAGGATATTGTTGGCAAGACACAGCCTTTCACCGGAGCTTAGAATGTTTTAGAGTTTTTGAGGGTTATATTGGTGTTGATGTTGTTATACGTGTATGTAATAGATGTTTTCGTTCTAATTAGGAGCTTAAAATTTTAGAAGTTATAGATTGTTGTTCTCTTTGCTTTTTCATTGTGTAGCTGTTCCTTTTTGGTGTTGCTACTGGGTCCGCCTGTTTTCTTTTTTTTTGTTATTGTTATTGTTATTGTTTTTTTTGTGCGTGTGTGGGGATATTGATTCTTTTTGTAATATGCTGATGTTGGATTCCACATATCTAATCTGTGATCTCTTTTGTTGGTCCTGTGGCATGCTATTCATTCACATTTGTTCTTTGGTTCGTCTTAATTGATACATGATATATTCTTCAATTAGTTTTTTATACTACCCCACCTTTTTTTTTCCGGCTCCGTAGAGAGATCATTTTCTTGGTGATTTAATAAGGTGAAAATATCAAATATTGTCACATGAAATTGACATGAACTTCAATGCCTAATATGATTATCTTCCTAACTTCTTTAATGAAACTTCTTATGATTGAAAAATATTATTGATTACTATTTCATTCATATTTGCTTGATTTATCTGAATCTTTTGGTTTAAAATCATTTCACTAGCCTCATTGCTGTTGTTTATCCAATCAAAATTGCATTATCATTTCCATACAGTATGTAAATGGGCCAGGCCTATTACTGGAACGCAAACCCGACCCGTTCTCAAGGCCACACGCTTCTGAGCTCCGACTCCGCCGACTCCGCATCCCAATCCTTATTATATAAGCCCTAAACCCCTAAAATCCCCCCTAATTCTTCAAAAGATTCTTCGCTTCCGCAATTCTCACTTATATTTCTAGGGTTTCACAGTTCCCACTCCCATCGATTTCACCGGAAAAAGATGGACTTCGACGAGTACGATTACTTGGAGAAGGCGGTTGACGACGTCGAGATCCGCAAGGATAAGAAGAAGGACGACGAAAAGGACGAGAAGAGCTCCCGCCGCCGCGAGAAGGACGGCGGAGAGAGAAGGTCGGAGAGAAAATCTTCCAGGTCGGAGGATGCCGACGGAGACAAGCGCGACGATCGAGATCGGTCCGAGCGCAGGAACAAGGAGAGGGATCGAGAGAGCGAGAGGGATCACCGGAGGGAGCGCGAACGAGAGAAGGAAGGGGATCGGGAGCGTCGGAGTAAGGATAGGGATTACAAGGAAGAGAGAGACAAGGGCAGAGATAGGGAGAGGGACAGAGAGAAGGAGAGAGAAAAAGAAAGAGAAAGAGAGAGGGAGAGATTGAGGAGGAGCAGCAGTAGATCGAGGCATGAGGCCGAGAGAGAGATGGAGAGGGCGAGGAGCAGAGAGAGGGCCAATAGAGAGAGGGAATTGGAGCGTGAGATAAGGGAGAGAGAAAGCAGGTATTTCTCATCCTTTTGTTTCTTTGTGAGTGCGTAGAACTTCAATGTTTTCCATAAAGTGAAACTCGTGTACGCAAATTCCTAGACCACCATTGCCAATTGAAATAAGATATTAAAAAAATGAGCATAACCGAAATGAGAATGTTAGGGTGATGGAAGAGAGGAATTGTTTTAAATTGAGGGAAAATTCTATAGGACAACTATAAGATAAAAAAATGCATTATAGATTAGCATGTTGGTGAAAATTTATAAACATACCGAAAATGAGTGTAGCAAAAATGAGAATGGTCTGATGGATAAATGGATATAAACTATATGGTAAAAAGAGGAGTACATTTATAGGTGGGTAGAAGTTTCTTCTATTGAAAATAAGATGAGAGGAGAACCGTTTGAGATGGTCTGATAATGTGTAGAGGAGATCACTAAATACACTAGCTAGGGAAAGTAGAGTCATAATAAAGAGAAAGGAGGACTAGAGAGTAGAAACTAGAAAACATGTATTTTTGTCGTTCTTTGTTTGTTAAACTTTCATTCTAGAGCTTGGCATTCAAATTTCTTAGTTAGATGCATGCATATAATTTCAATTTAGAGGGATAAATCAGAGTAGTAGAGTAGCGTAAATTGTAACTGAATTTTTTATAACTTGCATTGCTTGCTATAAACTATTGTTGGTCCTGTAGCTATCATATAAAATGAAATTGACGGGAATTTTCTATAAGAGAACTACCAACAATACTTATAGATCATAATGTTGAATAATTTAAAGTATAGGCAAAAAAAGAGTTTGACAGAAATGAGAAATTGAGAACATTGCGGTGGAAAAATGGTTGTACACTAAAAGACGGGACAAGAATTAAGTCCATTCATAGAAAGTTAAAAGTTGCTCCTATTGAGATAAAATGAGAGAATTGGTTCATATGGTTTGATCATGTTCAAATGAGATCACTAAACACTGTAATTAGAAGAAGTGATAGATTATAATTAGTGGAGGAAGGGTAACTGGAGGTAGGCTTAGAATATGTTGGGAAGCAATTAAGAAGGATGCGTAATGGTTAATTTGGTAGAAGCAATAACTCTTAATGGAAAGAATGAGATACATGTAGCCGTATTTTTTTTTAAAAATGGGATAAAGGATTTGTTGTCGATATCATTGCCAATTTTTTGGTTCACTGACTAGAAAAACTAAAATTGCATGCACACTAACTGTAGTTCGAAGTGCCTCATATCGAATTTATATAGGCATATTTTAGCCTATATTTTCTCTGTCATCTATGTATCTATCCACTCCATACAAATGGGTGAACCCAAGATGTACTATTCATGCTACAGTAAATACTATAGTAATATTTACTGTAACATTATTATTGTAACAAGTACGAAACCGGGCACAGGTTTTTGAAAAACACTACTGTAGCACATGAGAATACTGTAGCAGAGGAGGGATGCTGTAGCACCCAAAAAATTTAAAACTGGAGCAGTCAAAACCGGGATTACTGTAGCAAAAAAAAATGCAGTGCTTTCCACGGTGTTCACACTAGTTTCTTATAATAAGAAAATTGCCGATTACCTGGCATGAACTGACCATGTTATTTTAGACCTATTATCAATGAATGAATGCTCTATATTATTTTGATATGTGGTTTTTGAGTCTTGAATATTTTGATTTTGTTAATAAACTATCTACATTTTTGTGTAGGAGATTCAAAGAGAAAAAAGAAGCCGCAGAACTAGAAGCTGATCCTGAAAGGGACCAGAGAACTGTTTTTGCTTATCAGGTAATAGTTTGTAGTTTATGTTTTCACTTCATTTATTATTGGAAAGGGGTATTCATTTCATCCATACACAACCAACTTCTAATTTTTTTCTCTTTTGTTATTTTAGATGCCTTTGAAAGCGACAGAGAGAGATGTTTATGAATTCTTCTCGAAAGCAGGAAAGGTTAGTGGAATGAGTTACTTGTTCCTCTTATCACACAATAATATGCGGTTGATGATCGTTTTTAATTTGTTAGGTTTAGCTTCTTGTATTGACATAACACATCCATCTGATAAGAGTGTTCTGATATTTACATGTATCATGCAACCACAGGTATCTGAGCTTACATAGTACTACAAGTATACTTATCTCCCCTGTCCAGTTTATTATTTAAAATATTTCATAACTTGTTATCTTATTAGGATTAAAGCTTTTGGTAGGCAATTCGCTATTTCAATATCTTCAGTACATACGTTGAGATACACTTGCTTCTTATTGCAGTAAATGCTCCTGTGCCTTCAATGAGGCCTATTATAATGACTTTTTTAGATACACTTGCTTCTTATTGCAGTAAATGCTCCTGTGCCTTCAATGAGGCCTATTATAATGACTTTTTTGTGGCTCAACATTCTTTTATTTCCTGTGCCTTCAATGAGGCCTATTATAATGACTTTTTTGTGGCTCAACATTCTTTTATTTGGTGAGTGAAAAGAATTGTAAGTTTGATTGCTCACCATATTGGGTGCAGTCCTTAGGGTGGTGTTATGTGTAGTAAGCATGTCAATGCATTTTAAGCTGCAAACTGTATAAGTATTACTTCGTTAATGATGTCAGATTTACAAGCAATTAATTTATGGCTTCCAGGTTAGAGACGTGCGGCTAATCATGGATCGGAACTCGAGACGATCAAAGGGAGTTGGGTATGTTCTCTTGTTCTTTAACTTGTTTGTTGATGCATTATAGCAAGGTTCTTAGACATGCTTCCATGAGGATGATCCTTCTAAAGTTATTTTGCTCGATTATTCAAAAAGTCAGATAAGGAAAGAACATCACGTGATGGAGGTTTCAGGAAGTAATGATAATAAACAACTTGAATTTTTATGAATGTTGTAAGGCATAAAAGGTGATGTTTTGGAAAAATATAATACTTTGCACCACATATTTTGGGATCCTTCTTTTTGATAGATTTTGAGCTTGAGGTAATCTACATTCAGAAGTAGATGCAGGTAGTTTGATTTAATTCATGGCAGAAGAACAAAATTGATAGTCTATATCATCCGTTGTTATCTACTACACTATCTAGACACAGATGTCAAATCTTTTAAGCATGTTCTACTCATGCATCATCTGGTTGCAAGCTGAGAAGCCTTTTTATTTGTTTTGGAACATGACAGAACTTGTTAAAAAAAGTTTACATGCTATTCTTAGTAGTTAGAGCACTTCCAACAAGGTGTATTTTTTTCTAAGCAGCCCAAAAGTGAAATCAACATAATGTGATATTCTTTTGAGCTCTCTTTTTCATTTTATCACAACCGTTTCCGCAGCAATAGATGTTAACCTGCCCAATGAATTAGATCTGTTAAACGTTGTCCGGTGAATTAAAAGAATCCCTTTGTAATTACTTTGGCATCAAGCTCTGTACAAGGCCAGAGCCTAGTTCACATTTAATGAGACCTCTATGGAGTATTCATGACTTTATTCCTAGGGGAATCAGGCTTTTGCTCAGAGAATGATGATCATGACTATAATAGTAATGACCACGACAATAAGAGAGAGAAGTATTACTAAGTAGTGAATTATGTTTGCCTGCAAAAAATGAATGCATGTAATATTACGTTACGTATCATAGAAGAGCCTGTTTCTACATTAGAAAGAAGTATACGTTATATCATAAAACCTTAATTAATGCTCGAGAAGTTATTGGAACCTTTGAGCATAGTTAATGTCAAATTCATTTCACACTTACTATTTAACCACCTGAAATTGGTTCTGTAGATCTCCATTCTTCAACCATATCTTAGATAGCTCACCCTTTCTCTATTACCATGGTTTTTACTCATATGGCATGTTATTCCTATCTATCTTGCATAATAAGGGTCATACTTCCTGTTTGCTTTTGTGTTTCACCATTAAAGATGTCGATTTTAAATATAGAAGATTAAACAAGAGACTGTCATTTGTTGAATCTGTAGAGGACATCATACAAAAGAGGCATAATTATTTTCTCGGTTGAACATTTTTTTCTGTTTGAAGGATACGAAATATGGCTTCCATAGATTTATTCTAGATATACGTGGTTAAACCCAAATTGTATTTGGCGGACCATTAGAGAGTAATGAGATGATATATTTCTGCTGGATTTATATCCTTGTTCGGAGTGTAAATTGTTTTCCCTGAATATTTTTCTAATAAGTTGGATAGCTTTAGTTACATTGAGGTAGTCCCGGAATATCTCGGGGTCAGCAGCTACTCTTGTTTGAACAAGGGTGAAAGTTATGACTGTTGAACCTGTCAGAGTTATAAATAAAATTTAGCAGCTGTTCATGTGGCAGGGAACCTGCCACTCAGGGTCAACTTAAAATATCTGTCATTTTATTGAATTTAGGTTTTTAATGGGTTTGTGTTATGGGGTGAGTGAAATATCTATTAATGTTCTCACACAAGATTCTAAACCTCTTGTTAAAAGAGCACCCACAAAAGTCGAGGAAGTTACATGGACCATTGAAGAATTGACCGAGTTCAGATAAACTTTCACACTAGCCTGATATTAATCCTCTTCAGGCCGGTCCATTAATTCTGTCCAAGTATGGGTGAGAGAGCCATGTCAGAGAACCTTTGCTGTAAGTTAAAAGCGAGTTGGCTGATCAACAGATTGGTCATGTGGCTTACTTTTCATGTGACCATATGCAGCCCTTCAGTTTCCCCTAAATATTGAAATACTATATGACAATTTTTTATTTTATTTTATATGGGATTATTTTCTTTCTCATGCTTCTTTACTGCAGACTCTTATCTTGTTCTTGAGTATTTTTTTAGGAATTGTACCTTGTTCTTGATTTACCTTTTATAGCCTGGTAGAGTAGCTAGATGTTCTAGGTGGAATTTTACTTAATGTCTTCTGACAACATTTTTCTTTAATTGTTCCCTTTCCCTTTTTAGCTGTCACAGTTTTGCGCGAGGTCTTAATTTTTTCTCTGTGTTGTTACAGGTATATTGAGTTCTATGATGCAATGTCAGTGCCTATGGCAATAGCTCTGTGTGGTCAACTCCTTTTAGGTCAACCTGTGATGGTCAAACCTTCAGAAGCAGAAAAGAATCTTGTCCAATCAACTGCTACAGGAAGCTCAGGTGTTGCGGGTGCAGGAGCTGCTAGGAAAATTTATGTTGGGAATCTTCATTTTAATATTTCAGAAGATCAACTTCGTCAGGTGACTTTTGAGTTAATTTACCTTTCTTTTTACAATCCATAACATTAAAAGATAGTTAATCTGACTGCAAGAAATCACTATTTGCTTACTGATCATGCATCTGCATTAAAAAAAAATCTACATTATCTTATTTTCTTTTATAATTACAGAAGTTTAATTATTTTTAAGAGCAGATATGATTATTTTCTGTTGCTGGGCAGGAATATCTACTTATAGGTGCATTCCTGTCCTTTGCAAAAAATTGACAGTTTTCAGCTTCACCATTCCATAGCTCAAAGTTTCCTGACATGTGAGTTATAAAGCTTTTCTGGTGGCTGGTCAACCTGAGCAGACATGTTATGGATTTGATATGCACTCTGTGATCATATAGACATATCTTCTGTCTGGGAACTTTAAATTTTACTTCTTATTCAATGTTGTTTACTTTTGTTGGGTACGTTTGGAAGTTATAGAATGATGAAGTTTAATTATTAGTTCTTCGACAGAAAATTGCATTGACATACGGGAGAACCATATACCATCGGATATCTCCATAGAAGCCTGTGGTTGTGTTTCCTAGGGTTGAAGTGGCTGGGCTGGGGTCATAGAGGGGAAATAACAAAGGAAGTCTGTTGAAATCAGCAAGTTATTATTCTATTTTCCTTATGTTTTATTGGTATCCATATCCTTCCCCCCAGTACAGGTTTTTTTTTTCTAGATTTATTATACATACCTTAATCTCGGTTATGACTATCATGGGTTACCCTTGCCTCTCATACCTATCCTGTGGTAACTTGGACAAACCTAAATCCTTGGATCGCCCATGTGCCTACGCAGAGGAGCTTTTAAGCTAAGCCACTTCTTTCGCCTTTAGCTTGACAGTAGGAATGTGATACTTGCCTTTAAGCTTTGAGCTTGGCACCTTGGCAGTATAATCTATAGAACCGGATAAGCCAGGCCAATTGGTTAGTGTGTCTCGATAGCTTTTTCTCTTGTTTCATCAGTTGCCATTGGTCCTGTCGTATTAAATTGAAGGCATGGCCTTGTGTGAAAGAAGAAGACGGCACTATCAAATCTGTTATTTGCGAATCTGCATTAGTGCAAATCTGATCTTTTCGGGGTTGAAGGAGTAAGCGCAGCTATTAAATCCGCATCTAGCTTGACTGCTGGAAAGCTTTACTTGGCTTGGCTAGAAGGGATGAGCGACAGACTCATGGGAGAAAACTTTTAGGTTTTTTCACAGCGATAAATTTACCTGTCTAACATGTCTGTTACACGGTTACACATCAAAATGTTCTTTAGCATGTGGATGTTAACCACAACTCATGTCTGTCTAGCATAATTGCTGATTACTAGGGGCGCCTTGTGATTACTAGGGGTACCTTGTACTCTCATATTTAAGCACTCTACCAGGCTGATCATTTTTATATGGCTGTGGTGCTGATACGGAAGGTACACCATCTTAAGATATGATATCTAGTCTTTCAATCTCAGTTAAAATTTATCCACAAATCATTGTGTTTTTCTAGTAGTTCAATTGCTAGAGCCACCTCTTGTATTTGACTGTGTGTTCATATCTGCACACTTCTAACTTTATCTCATGTTTCTGGTCGAAATATTAGTCTGAATACTTCTCCCTTCCCTTTTGTTGTGGTGGTACTTGCTCTTACATTTGTACTTGATTTATTCTTATACCAACCATGTCTAATGACCAACAGAATTCCCAAATGAAAAGTGGTCTACAGTAGACAATTTATTTCTTTTGGTGAACTATCGTATATAATGGCTTGCTGATTAGTTTCTCTCCTTTTTTTTTTGATTTATAAAGACCGTCTTTATGATTCCTTTTCCTTTCTCTTCAGGTTTTTGAACCTTTTGGTCCAGTTGAACTTGTACAATTACCTTTGGATCTGGAAACTGGGCAGTGTAAAGGTTATGGTTTTGTTCAAGTAAGTATAGCTCAAGGTCCCTTGTGCGACTAACTTATCTCTTCATTGCTAATTTTCTGTTTGCATGGTCAGTTTGCCCAAATGGAACATGCGAAGGCAGCTCTAAGTTTGAATGGGAAGCTAGAGATAGCCGGCCGGGTCATCAAGGTAGTAAATCCACTATTGGTTTTTGTGGTTGCAGCTTTCTGCTTGGTGATATCTGTTGTTAAACTTAGTTGCAGGTTTTTTTCTTGGTGATTTCTGTTGTTGATCGTAATTAACAAGATAAATAAATTATTTATGATGACAGGTATCAGCAGTCACAGATCATGTCCCTGTACAGGAAACTGGAGCAAATGCTGCTGACTTTGATGATGATGATGGCAGTGGTTTGGTGAGTTAGAAATTTGCTTTTTTTTTTATCTCACGGGTCTTGCGACCTGTGAGTCTTATGACTATGGCCATTAACGCATCTTATGATATCTAGAGATACTGTGCCCCCTTCTTACCTCATTTTACTGGTTTGGACTGAGAAAATAACGCAATCTCACAGTTTACTTTTCTTACTTCATTGGTTCTTTGTATACAACAGTTGAACCCAATCTCTTATCTATTTTATCACAATTGATGTCACAGCGAGAGTTTTGAATTAACTTTTAAAAAGAACTCTGTTGATGGTTAAATGTGAATTTTCTTTGTTTTTTAATGCAGTCCTTGAATGCTCGATCAAGAGCCATGCTGATGCAGAAACTCGATCGCACGGGAACAGCCTCAAGGTTTTTGCTTCATTATGTAGAATTGTGGAACAGAATTATTTTCTGAAAACTAATTTATGCTTATTTTATGTAGTATTGCTGAATCTCTTGGAGTACCCTTGGTAAATGGGGTTGCACAACCAAATCAACAGGCATTACCCTTAACTACAAATGGGCAGGCTACATTACCTGCAGAATGGGGTTGCACAACCAAATCAACAGGCATTACCCTTAACTACAAATGGGCAGGCTACATTACCTGCAGCTCCATTGCTAACTTCCCCACTCGCAGGCATTACCCTTAACTACAAATGGGCAGGCTACATTACCTGCAGCTCCATTGCTAACTTCCCCACTCGCCGCTGTGCCAATTGGAGAACCCAGTGAATGCATTTCGTTAAAGAATATGTTTGATCCAAGGACCGAGGTTGGTTGCTTCTTTTTATACATAGTAAAGGGTGTCACATTGGTTCTTAAGATTTGATTGATCATGCAGACGGATCCCGATTTTGATTTGGATATCAGAGATGAAGTGCAGGAAGAATGTTCAAAATTTGGCCCTATTAAGCATATCTATGTGGACAAGTAAGTTCTTTTTCCAACCTTTTCTGGGTTACTGAGGTATATAATCACAATAATTCTTGCACCATTTTGTTTTCTGAAATTTATTTGGTAAATAGGTGAGTTGTCGTCGACATCTCGTTTAAATCATCATGTCTTTATGGGTTGCATATTTTATTGATTGTGCATGTTTAATGGATGTGAGGGTGGTTCAATAAAATGGAAGAGGTTTGTCAATCGATAGTGTCTATCTTTAAGAAAGGGGGTGTATCTTTCGGTGGATTCTTTTGCTCTGTCGTCATGTACACAGCTGTATAGTAATTCCCCATTTTAATTATGTAAGGGACAAACCCCATGTTTCCATCATTATTATTTATCTTAAGGTCGGGTATTTTTCTCTCTTGCCTTTTTTCTCGGAGTACCTTTTGACAGCATTTCAAAGCAGAATACAGTTTCTCTGCTGCATAGAGCTTTCTCTCCTTTGCATGCTATAGGCTGTGCATTATACCACCTTATATTTGCATCAGTACTAACCCAGTCTTACTAGATCAAAACATGTAATGTTTATAGGAATTCAAAGACTTGACACCATTTTCAGAACTAGTGTTTCTTGAGGATCTTAAAGTATTTTCCTATTTATTTTGTTTTAGACATTACTTGGGAACAATATATTTATTGCTAGTTTTAGCTTTTAGCATTTGACTTTGAATTCAAAATATTGAGAAGTCTTTAGTACTGAACCAGTTAGTTATGATTCTCCTTTTGTATAATTCAGTTGCTCTTGTTTGTAGGTTTAGCGATGGCCATGTTTATCTACGATTTGAAAGTGTAGCAGCAGCAGCTAGCTGTCAGCGGGCAATGCATATGAGATGGTTTGCTGGAAGGGCTATATCTGCCACTTTCATGGTATGCTTCTGCCTTCAAAAATAATGTTTGAAGCAACACAAAATAATAAAGGCCGTGATAACAATAATCCTTGAATTAAAACATGGGGTGAAGTACTCACAAGTGAATATGACTTGAAAAAGAATATGAAGTTATGATGTTTATACTGACAATGCACATTAATTATATTGATTCTCTTGAGATATATCAGATTATTTAATAAGAGGGAGCATTCATTATTTATATGTTTTCTTTTATTATAGTACTTTCTTTCATGAATTTTTTGGATTAAACCTAGCATAAAATAATGTGTATGAAGCGTTTCTGTAATAGTTATATTTGAATCTTTACTTTGACGAGGATGGGGAATCATTTATACATGACATGTGAGTGCATACCTACAGTAGTTATGTGTGGGGGATCATTAATGTTTTCCAACTGTTTATCTTGATTTAATCCATTATCTACTATTTATAGGAGTGAATTAAAATTCTTTTTTAATCTGGTTTGCTCCTCCGTAGTTTTATATTTCCTCAAAATGTTTCATTTCTTGCAATGTTGTGGCATAACTTGTCCTGGGTATATCTCAAAACTCTCAAAAGTTATAATCAAGACATTATAAGTTTATAATCTCTTGTTTGTATCATGCATCTTCCGTGGCGGTTTTTTTTTACCATTATCTTGTAGACATCCAAATACTATGGCGATACATCTACATTACTTGCTGATTTTTTGCTAATGAAAATAACTGGCACTCTTTATATTCCAAATAGATGGGAGTTATGCAAATCATTCCTTTGATAGGAAGTGAGAACTTGCATCTGGTTAAATTTTTAATAATGTATTAGAGCTCTATGTGGAATAACACACTTCTATTTTCTTCTCGGGTTCTCACCTTATCACAAGAGGTAACTAGGCAGTAATTATAAAGAGATTTGTTTGAGTTGAATTGCCATCTTGATAACTACAGCATCTTTTAAAAATTGGATTATTTTTTATGTGATATTATTTTTTGGCCCTAACTATATAACCTCGTTAATTGTGCAGCGACCTTATAAATATGAAGCCAAATTCGCAAGTGGAGCTTAAGGTGTTATTGCTATGTGATTATGATGAATTGTGTTTTTTTATATGAAATGAGAATCGAAATGTATCAACTAAATTGCTATAGTAGGGTCTTTATTTTTGTTTTTTTGTTATCTGTATATGCACTTAAGGTGTTGTTGCTTAAGGTTTTGTTATGCGGCATCTCAGTAGACAAAAAGGACTACGTTTTTTTTTTTTTTTTGGTTTTTTTTTCAAAAATGAAAAAAGTGATAGCCTTGAATTAATCCTCGCTTGCTGTTAGTCTCAAGTTAGCAGAACCAACAGTTTAAGGTTAAACCTGTCCATAGTTAATACGACTTATTAACAGCAGCTGGAATAGAGCAGTCGGTTAGAGCGGGCCGGAGTTGCTCAGGCTGTTAGAGCGTGTGACCATTAACTACATGGTCGGAGGTTTAAGCCTTCCTTGACTGCAAATCCTATTGGTGGGGTGTTCTGATAGGTCGAGGGGGACGGTGAAATATCATCACTGCCCTCCTCCTCTCCAATCCTGCCTGCGGTTCATAGCGCTCCGCATGGTGCCAGGCGTTCTGAAAGAATCCGCCTTCGCCCTCCTAGCAAACTTTGTGGGCCATTCCCAAATTATCCTTACGATGCGAGTGACGTCTTGTTTTCTGATGTGGCAATTGTAGCGATTACTTTTTTGATTTACTGTTATTTTGAGTTCAAAAAAAAAAAAAAAAAAAACCTACTTTTCGTTTCCCTCTTCTTCTTCCACATCTTGCCCAAATCATCTCCGATCAAGTCACTGGACTTAAAAAGAAAATGTGGCTGAAGCAAGTTCGAGCTCAGATTTGTTCCCGAACCTTTCAAGAGTTCATTTTTCGAGATACCAAAAAGAAACAAGCTAATCAACGGTTGAAAAATTCGAAAAAGGAAGATAAGGAAAGCAATAAAAGACGGGATCAAACCAAAGACAATAATAAGGCTGTAAATTCGAATGAAAAAAAAAAAGGAAAAGAGGATAAAGAATTGAACTTTTTATGAAATCCTAGTAATTCGTAGTAAAAGATTGCTACTTTCGTAAGTATCGCAATAATATTCGATAAATTCTGTCAAATTGTTTGATATATACATTGTTTTTGATGAAAACTAGAAATTATAGTTTTGGGTTAATATTTACATCGGTTCAATTTAGCAAAAAATAGTTGTCCGTTGTTGTCGACGCATAAAATATTGATAATCTAAAACATGCAATGCCCCTATGTTGAATTGAGTATTGCTTATTGATTGAGTATGTTACTTTCTCTAATTAAGTATGTTACATAGATATTTGTTTGGTGAATTATGATATAGAGAAGTAGTTCGCACTGAAGTACAATTAGACATTTGCCCAACGGCAAGCTTACTGTGATTTCATGGAAGAAATATATCATATTGTTATATCCCAGAAATTACCAAGACCAAATAAGAGCGGTCACATGATAATTAACTGCCGGACCCATCTGCAAGCATAACCCGAGCCTCGAGTCGGCCAACTCGCCTTGCGATCCAGATCCGAGGTGAACGGCGCTCCCGAACCGAATCCCGCTAGATGTCCGACTCTGAGACAAAAGACGTTCTCCACTTGGACGAAACACACGGCCTGACAAGCATCATCAAAAGTCACATTGCACAGTCTGCGCCTGCACTTCGCCATCCAGTCACCACAAGCAATTAATGTGGCGTTAATCATTATAACCTTTTGAGCTAGAGCATTCAAAGCTTATTGGACACACCATCACTCCAACAGTCCCACAACTATGCAAAAGCGACTCGACCAATCAGCTTCAGGCATGTGTAAAGTAGGGTCTGAATCAATACTACACACACGGCTGAAATTACCTACGTATCCGCATAAACCCTCTATAAATAATGAAAATTTCTACTAAACCGAGGTACACAATTTTACACATAAAAAGTCAATAAGACTATACTCTGTTTTTCTCTTCAGATTAACTAGGAATAGTGACTGACTTGAGTGTCGAAGGGCACGTCATAGGAAATAACCTCTGGTGTCTCTAACCTTTGTTATCTCCATAGCAATGAATAGCGCAAAATTCAAAACGGGAGAATCAACCATCAAAGGTGATTAAAGGACCCAAAAAATTGAGTTTTACCCCACTAAATCATGTATAAATTTCACGATGTAAACAATTTGGCGCCCACTGTGGGGCCTCTTCTTGTCCTTTTGAAGAAATGGTTGATCTTCGATTTTCGGACCTCGAAACCAGAAGCTACCACCATTGCTTAGAGCTATGGCAATAAAGGAGTTCTGCTAAAAGACAAACAGTAAACAAAGCCAAGTGAACATCATGGTTGTCATAAAATCTAAAATATTTTGGAGAATGCATCCACAAAATGTAATTAAAACTGTAAAAACCTTTCTGTAAGTAAGAAGTATTTTGCATGACGTACTAACCTGCACAGAGCTCTTGCCCGCAATCTTCATCGACTCGGCAATGAAGACCAAACCCTTGGTATCTTTACAGAGTAAAACCAAGGCACGAGCTAAGCTATTGGTATTGTGCTCACAAGTAAAACCAAGGCATGGATCTCTTGTCGCTCGATCTTCATCAACTTGGCCATGTCGCCTTCAAGACAGGAACATCGCCACCTCTGACGCCCTGCTTAGTCGCAAGGTATGACGACTCATCCTCAACCTCGATAATCTCAGATGGAGGAACTTGAAAATTTTGTGGAACCGAAGACCTGTTGATTTGCCCTGATGCAACTTCTTCCTGCTCCGGCTCCGCCCCAGTCGCCTCATCGTCCAAGGCAAGAAGCTTTTGTGCGCCGTCTTCCATCAAATGATGCCGCTTTGGGGTCAGCTTTTTTCGCCTCATCTTTTCAGAACTCTTGTTCTAAAAAGTAGCCGAGGCCATGCCCTTTAGTCGGGCCGCAATTTCGGCTATATTCTGGCAAATAGCCTATATCTCATCCTCTTCCAACTCCAGGTGGAGACGTTTCTTGGGCCCCACAACAAGGCAGGCTTGAGGAGCATCCGAAAAATCCCCCTCCAGAGCCATCAAAATAGCCTAAGCCAAATCCAACTCAGTAGTAGGGACGTGGGAGATGCCAACAGCTCAAAGAATGGCATTGTCAAACAGGTTCTCACTGCGGCAAGACCCCTTATGAGCTCATATCTTCTCCAATCTGAACCTCTCTATTTGCGAAAGCTTCATCGTCCTTAGAGCTTCCTTCTTGATCTTCAGCCATGAAAAACAAGCCATGATAGGGTCGGCGCCAAACACAAAGAAAAATTTCTCCTTCCATCACTTACTCGTGCCAGGGATGTTGGAGACCAAGTGATAGCCACCAACCATCTGCAAAAAAAGTGGGCCTCACTCTTGCTGTACTTGGCACATAGTAGGCGGCCCAAAATCCCCATCATTGGCTCGACATAAGCCTTATAGCAGATGATGAGGAAGACAACGAGGAGAGCGATGGAGTTTGGCTTTAGCTACATAGGCTAGATCCCTAAGGCTTCAAACACTCGATAGACGAATGGGTGCGGCCACAAATGGATCGTAGTCTAAGTTATTGATGTACACCGTCATTTAATCGCCGCTATGATGATAAACATCTTGATCTCTCGTCGGAGCTAACAGAGTAAATTTGCTCGGTATGTCAAAGTCTTTGGCGATTTGCTCAAGACAAGGTTGGGTCACCTTTGACTTGAATTTCTTTAACAAAACAATTTGGGTCTCATTGCGAGCAAATAAAGGTTGAGCACTGGACGCCATCGAAACAACTGGAGAAGACGGTCAGAGAAGTTGAACTAAGAATTTTAAAAGAAGAAGAAGAAGAAGAAGAAGAAGAAGAAGAAGAAGAAGAGATTCTTTTCGACAAAGAATAGAGGAATTCTAGGTTTTACAAAGTGAGAAAGAGAAGTGTTTGGTTGGGAAAATTGAAAGAAGAAATTAAGAAAATGAATTTATCGTATTCTTTCTAACAGACTTAGAAAAAGACTTAATTACAATTCTCTCAATGCAATCTCTCTCTAATAAACTTAGAAAAAAAATTATAATCTTCTTGTATCAGATTCTAGATTTACAAAAGAGAGAAAGATCGACGGAGATCCTTCCCTTCGTTTAAAACTGGGTTCTTTTTGGTGTCGATGAAATGCCTCCCTCGATGTCCGTGTCGAGTTTACTTTTCGTTGATGATCCGAATGTTTCACCTCGTGGAACACGGTTTCTTCCTCTTGATTGATGTCGATGAGAACTTGCGTGGCAAGTTTGAAATAAACTCTTAATACGTTTTAGAACTTAGAGCGAGTTTAAACTCTGTAAAAGAGTTGATTTGAACCAAAAATCAGTTTTAAGCCAAGTACCAAAGCTCCTTGTTGCTGAAGAATGTTCTCGGTTGAAAATGAATGCCAAACTTCTTCTCCAAAATTCCGCTCAGAAAAGAGATCAATTTTTAGATCAATTGGATCCCTAACTCAATTGAGTTTTTTGCTATTTATAGGGGATTAAGGGGTATAAACGCCCCCTTAATTCGCTCCTTAGTGGGGGAGTAATCCCCTCAAATTACGGGGAAATGGTTTTAAAATTGTTTAGCTCGTGTTTGAATGAGTCAAACGTAAGAATTACGTTCTGGGCACGAATTTTGCGTTCTGGACCTGTGACGCAGAATTGGGTTCTGCATTTGAGTCTGAAAACGTAGCAGTGAGCTCTGCGTTTTGTGTTTGGAATGGTGCCATGAGCTCTGTGTTTTGGATCTGAGACGCGGCCACGAGCTCTGCGTTTTGGATCTAGGACGCAGAGGTAAGCTCTGCGTCTTGATTTGAAGAGACCGTCAATTTGTAGTCTTTTTTGCTAGAGCGTTGCAAAGATCGTCATCTTGTAATCTTCGTCTTAGCTCCTTGAAAGTATGAGAGTCGTCAGATTATAACTCCCGATATTAATTGTGAAGGCTGTTAAATTAGAACTTTCATCGGTTATCGTAAAGGTTGTCAAATTGTAACCTTTCTCGATCTACGTGAAAATCTTTTAATTTTAGCCTTCATTTGCTAATGTGAAAGTCATTTGATTGTAACTTTTATTATTGAATTGTTCATGTGGAAGTCGTTAGATGGTAACTTCTATTGTCGGTGTTTGATAGGGATAAGTTATCTATTGTGATTTTTAGACAGCCTACAGAACCCCCTCCAAAGTTTTTAAAAGTTCACGGTTGACTGGAACGAATTTTTGGAA